GGGCCTCTGGCCGGCCCTCCCCCGGCGTCCCGTCCCTCCCCAGGCTGGGAGCTCCCAGCCTGGGCTGAAACACCACTCGGCTTTCATAATCAAATAATCCCTGTGTTTATGCCTTGCTGACTGACGGCGCTGCCCCTGACATATCATTATCGGGAATTTACATTCCTGCAGGAACTGCAAAATCCCTTAGCCCTGAATCCAGAGCTTTCCTGTGGCACCAGAGGGAGAGGAAATAATCTGCGATCTTGAGACTTTCAGACCACTGAAGTAAACCCTCCTCCCCTCCCTTTGTTTGATTTAGCACTTTGCAGACTCCCACGAGGGGATTCTTGGTTTCTTACGGGTTTATTTTGTTTTGACTTAATGTGTTGTGCTTTTATTCCTCGCTCTTCTCATGTCAGTCCTTTTGGGCCCTTTGCCTCCTGGAGATTTAGGAAAACAAGGAAAGCAGGGATGGGTTCATCAGTGGGGAGCAGTGAGGTGCCGGGGGAGGTCTCACCAGGGTGCATGGGGACCAGCACATGCACTAGAGTCTACCAAGAGCACGTGGTGACGACCATATATCCAGGTGTCCCCAGGGCACCCAGGCTGCTCTGGTGGGTCAGACCTGAGGACCTTCCTGCCCTCTTGACCTGGTGCAGTGAAATGGTAGATAGACCCAGAACTTTTGGAGCTTCTCTCCACTTTAAACAGGAAAGACAATGTCTTAGGGTCTCCTCTGTTCTTGTCACGAGACAGAGCTGGTGGTGGAACCCAGATGTCCTGGCTCCCGCTCTCTTCTTTGCATTGCCCATCCTGCTCTGTCTCTGTCCGCTCCGGGAAGGCCCACTTGACCCTGAGGAGGCTGGAGAAGGTCAGCAGCCACTGCTCCACCCTGCTACGCAGTGCCTACATCCAGAGCCGCACCGAGACCATGCCCTACTTGCTCTGCCGCAGCGAAGAGGTCCGGCCGCCCGGCATGGTCTGGTACAGCATCCTAAAGGACACCAAAGTCACGTGCGAGGAGAAGATGGTCTCCATGCTGCGCAACACGTACGGGGAGTCCAAGGGGCGGTGAGGGAAGGTGAGGGCCTGGAGCTGTGGGAGGCAAAGGGACTCCAAGGAGTCAAGGACTCGTGATGTGCTGAGTGGCTGGTGGGGTTCAGGGTCGGGTGGTGGTCGGAGGGGGTGCAAGGGGACAGCGAGGCCAAACAGGACTTTCTCACTCAGACGGCAGAGAAACGAGAAATGAGCAAGTTGGACTTTAATTTCTTTTCCTTTCTTTTTTTTTTTAATTTTTCAAGAGGAAAAAGAAAAAAAATTACTTAATTTGACTCCGCATAAAAGCCTCTCCTTTTTAATCTTTTCTTACTGAATTTCCTGGACTACACACTCCAAAACCCTGGGAGGAGGAGATACCCGCTCGAGGCCAGGGCCGGGCAGAGGGGAGCTGCTGGGCACAGGCTGACCCCTCCCT